CATTATCGGTGTTGCCCTATGCAAACAATTCGTTCCACGGCTTCATTATCATCATTTAGTAGCCCGGATGGGCCTTGCACCAGGTTTTCGCGCTCCCTTTCGATTTCAAGCCCCACTCAGTCGAAAGCTTCAATACGGTTGCCAGTTGCTTGTTGAGAACCAACCAGGACTGACGGTTGCGGAGTTGAATCGATTTTTCCTGGGTCGTGCTAACTTCACTGGCAGCGATGTTAGGGTGATTAGTGGGGACGTTCTTAACCCACGATGTTTCCCCCGGCAGCCGGTCTGTTCGTCATGGTGGATCTGGCAACACTGCTTTAAGGTCAGATGGAGTGAAAAGCAACACATTAACATTTTGGAGCTCAAGGCCATCCTTCTTAGTATTCAGAGAGGCATCGAACGTCAAAAATGGCACAATTGCAGGGTGTTCCACGCCACAGACTCCTATGTTTGCATGAGCGTGATAAGTAAGGGGAGGACGTCCAGTCTCATGTTGAACCGTCTTCTCAAGAAACTTAATGCGCTTTTGTTGCTGCATGGCATTCAACTGCTAGTGACTCATGTAGAAAGTGCAGAAAACCCAACAGATGAGGCCAGCCGCGCATGGTGAGGATTCCAGCCAAGGTCATCCATCGCTCCACGAGGAAGCAGAGAAAAGAGGCACGTAAAGGCTTAAACTTGGCGGAAGCTGGCATCAGTGCCAGGACCAAGAACGCTTACCTCAATGCTCTTCGCCTTCTCTTACCAGCGTTGGAGAATGTCAGCACACCTTCACAGCTTGACACTGCAGTAGCAGCTTGGATCGAAATGGCTTGGGAGGACGGAGAATCCCTATATGTTGTGTCGAATGCACTTTGTGGTTTGCATTTTTACGAACCGCTTACAAAGCATTGTATCCCTAGTGCGTGGCGATTGTTCGCCACTTGGAGAAAATTGGAATGGCCTTCACGTGCTCCCCCCTTGACCCGTACTATTGTCATGAGCCTTGCCAACTATGCTTTGAGCCATCAAGATCTCTTCTTTGCCGCCCTCTTATGCCTGGGGTTCTTCGGATTGTTGAGAACAGGAGAGATGTTGTCATTAAGAGGCAGAGACATCTTGTGCGGGTCGAAACAGCTTGTGCTTTCTTTGAAAGGGACCAAGAGTGGTCAGAGGAATTCAGCCGACGAAACAGTCGCTATCGAAGATCCATTCACAATTCTTATCATCCAGACAGTTTTGGACATCTTGAAAGCACGCGACGCCCTCGAGCATTGCTTGTGGGAATTTTCAAACCAAAGCTTTAGGAATCACTTTGACATCTACCTGAGAAGGTTTCATCTTGATCATCTTCGTTTCCGTCCGTATTCTCCTAGGAGGGGTGGGGCGACCCACCTCTTCCAGGTGACAGGAAGCATGGAATTAGCTTTGGTTAAGGGCCGCTGGTCCTCAAATAAAGTTGCAAGGATTTACATTGCTGACGGCTTGAGCAAACTTCCGGAACTACTTTTGGACGTTGCTACAAAGAAACTTCTCTCATCTTGGTTGCCCCGCTGCGTTGCAACGGAAAAGGTAGTCGTGGAGAAGAAAGCGCCTGAGTCGCGCCGATGATTAAATTCATCGTTGAAATCGCCTGCATGGGCGAAAGAAGTTGAAATCGCCTGCATGGGCGAAAGAAGTTGAAAACGCCTGCATGGGCGAAAGAGACAAAGGTTTGAACGCCTGTAAAGGCAAATACAGTGTTTCACAAAAGTGAAGCCCTGAAGGCTTCTAACGTTGGTCTTGAACGCCAACACAAGTTGCGGCTACAAAAAGGCGCTGAAGCCTATGATTTCTTCAGAGTCATAGGCTGAGGTACCTTTTATGCCGTAATATATCGGCTTAAAAGCTGCACGGGCCACACCCGGCCCACCCTTGAAGTCGGAGAAGAAAGCGCCTGAGTCGCGCCGATGATTAAATTCATCGTTGAAATCGCCTGCATGGGCGAAAGAAGTTGAAATCGCCTGCATGGGCGAAAGAAGTTGAAAACGCCTGCATGGGCGAAAGAGACAAAGGTTTGAAAGCCTGTAAAGGCAAATGCAGTGTTTCACAAAAGTGAAGCCCTGAAGGCTTCTAACGTTGGTCTTGAACGCCAACACAAGTTGCGGCTACAAAAAGGCGCTGAAGCCTATCATATATGTTGGTGACATAGACCTTGCTTGTGAGAACCACAAATTCTTTTCTTTGTGTGTTTTTGCAATGAAAACTCACCGCTTTTGCATGTCACCTCCCGACCTCCCAACAAATGAAACGGCTGAATGGGACCGGCGACACCGCTGAGGCCCGTGCCCCGCTGCCGCACGCGGTGCCCCGCGCATGGACGGCGTGCGTGAGGCGGCTGGACGACGTGCGGCCGTGGGGGAAGCCGAGGGATGGGAAGGAGTGGAAGGAGGAAACGAGGAAACTGGACACGAGGTCCTTCCATTTTCAGGTCCTGTGCCGGATTCTGTCTCTAGTGGCTGGGATGTATGATGTATCCGACTGGGAAAAACGGGTGGCGGTTTGAGCAGGTCTCCAGTGCTGCAGGTTCTTTCTTCCGCCGCGTTGGAGAACCACGGGGACCACTGGATCGAAGGCCGCTGAGATCGATCGAGTAGGTAGGTGCAGAGTTGCGTCGAAGGTGTGTTAAGGGAGGGTCAAAATCTATCAGCAACACCATCCAGGTTGACCTCCCAGCTTTTTTGCAGTCAGTTGGTTTCAAAAAAGGGTTGACCAACCCACAGCCACTTCAACAAGCCAGGGATTTCGAGATAAGAACCGTGGGATCGGTGACAGATCAACGCAAAGCAGAGGGAAACCCTGCTGTTTGGTTGATGGTCTTTGGGGCAGATGTTTACAGTCTGAACAATCTTTGGCATATGTATTTCAACAAAAAATGCCAAAGAGGGTTCTTGGAAAATCAGCCGGTCTTGAGAAGTCTAAGACGACCTTGTGACATCTGGTGACATCTGGCGCCCCACTGAGGCATGAGCATGAGGCCTGCTTGTGCATCCAGCGCCACTGGCGGAAGCTTCAGGAGCAGATGCGAAGAGCATGAAGCGAAGATAGATCGAGTTCATATGGGTGGTTGATATGGGCTCCATCTTTTACCAACGCAATATATATATTATATATATCTATACTTATATATTAATATATATATATACATATACAGAATCCGTGAAAGAACCTCATGTTCTTTTTTCCATCTGTGGCATGTCCCCGAAGACTCGGACAATCCGTGCGTCCTCCGAAGATGTCAGGACCCTGCGTTCTCCACGACACGTGTCGTGTGAAGTCCCTTGAATCATCAGACTTTCTCGATGGGTTACCCAACCAGCCAATGGCTGCCAACTGCCTTTGGTGTCTTTGTTTCCATGGAAACATCACTTTTTGGTTGCAGCAATTCCTGTATATTTGTGAAAGAAGGATGATCCTCGAAAACAACTATCAGTTCGTGCACCTTGGCCGCTGGTGGGATTAGGGACAATTCTGCAGTCAAAACAGCAAAGCAGCTGAACGCCGTGACCTCAAGAATTGTTCCAGGGTCTGACTGGGATGTGAGCCATGTGAGTCATTCGAGCACGGCTTTGAAGGTTGTTGGTCATATACCAAGGCAACATAAAGCACATCCAAAGCCCTCAACGATTGGATCCATTGCCATCCATTTCATCGGATCACTCCAAAGATCCGTGTCCGGCACTAACGGAGTGGCCCCTCGATCAGGAGTCCCGACGGCTGCTTGTCACGGATATACGAAACGGCGCCTGCTCCTTTTTTTTTTTGCTTTTCTCCAACCTGCTGCTCCGCTGCTAGAGGCCGTGGCAGGACACAGGGATCGCATTCTTTTGGTTCTATTTGTGTGCTATCTTTTTTCTCAGATGATGAGTGCTTTTGATTCCTTCGGTGCAAATCCCACGAGCTTCACCAGATTCATGGCACGGCAGCCAAGAAATACCGACTTCTTCATGGGAGACCAAGCTTCACCTGGCTTCCGAGAGGTCGTCTTCGGTGCCCAGAAACTCGGGCCTTGCGCATGGGTACAGAAAAAGACCCAAAGCACGGATTTCCCACTTTTTTTGGGGGGGGGATTTTATGTCGACCTGTCACAGGCTGGCTAGCGGCTAGACTGGACAAGTGCCAGACCAGACGCCACGTTCTAGCGAGAGGAAAACCGGCCAGAGGGAGGGTTTTCTCTTTTGGGTCCCTTCCACAGCAACGAGAAGTCGGAGTCCAAACCATTGAGGGAACGGATGAACGAGGACCAGGAACTCCAACGCCCACCTCCACCTTCTCCACCTTTCTCCTCCCCCTTCCTCCGCCTTCCGGACCTCGGAGATCGGATCCGACCTGGTCTCGCTGGGTCTCGCGGCTCCGTCGCCTGGTCCAGGTTCCGTCGGTCCTAGCTGCTGGGCCGAGCTGGACGTGGTCCGCGGCGCAGCGCGTCGGCTTCATCTCGCACCCGCTCCTTGGGCGGCTCACAGGTGGGAGGACCCAGGGGTGGAGCCGCTTGGTGGCGGGGGAGCCAGGGCAAGGACTGCGGGAGAGGTCGGAGTTGGGGATGTTGGGGTCCTTTTGGGGCGTCTTTTATCTATATCCTATGCGCTGCACTAGCAAGAAACCTTTTACACTTTTGGCAAAGGTTCCTATTAACTTTTGCAGGATCAACCCCATTTTCGTGTCATTACTTCGGGAAGACATTGTTTTACTTCACTTTGGTATGACAATCATGATAATTATGATACTATTCATCGTTGGACGGGAATGGGAGATGGTACTGTTTTGATCTTGAGAAGGGGGGCACAATGTTTTATGTATGTGCAATCTTTGATACATTTTTTCTTTGCTTTGGGCTCTCGATAGAGACATGCTTGGGCCTGAAAAAGGGATGCTCAGGCCAGAGATCTTTTTTATGTATTTTTTTCAACAATCCTGGAAACAGCACACTATTTAGACACAAAACAATATTGTTCTGTTCGAGGTGACGTTCCACGTGGAGTTGGATGCCAAGGGCAGGCCACGGGTGCGGCGGCCGTCGCGCAGCTTCTCGAAGGCTGATGGAGTGGCGCTGGCAGGCTGGGAGCGGCTGGGCCGTGACCGGGGGCGACCGGGTCTTCGAAGCTCTGCAAGTGGAGAAAAAGGCTCTCTGGTGGCCTCCTATCAAGTCCTTATAGCTTGTGAGAGACAAATCGCATGCTACAAAAATTTGGCATTGCTGTTCAACAGGCAGATTTTTGTTTTCGGACCCTTCTTCCTGAGTAGGTCTTTGACTCTTTGTTGATATTTGTTTCTTCCTTTGGACTTCAAATGGCGGTGTTGGACCCTTCTGCACAGCCTCGTGCCCAAGGCCTTGAGTCCGTGCACACGGGCGTGGTCTGTGCTGTGGACCGGCCTAACCGGCGGGGCTTCATCCGAGTGGAGGAGCTGCACGAGCTGCTGGGGAAGGATGTGCTCTTCCGCCTGGCTCAACTGCCAGGTGCTGAGGCAGGGTCTGATGAAGAGAGATTAGGATGAGAGTAGAAACCACGCGAGGTGTATATTGATTTCACGATCAATCCCCAGTGTGACTGGGTTCTCGGGATGTTTGCTCTTTATGACTTGCTAGGCTCCATGGCCGGTTCTAGCAGACCGAAGAGCCAATCGATATGAGCCAATGATTCCGTACGTTCTGATGTCAACCGAAGGGTAGAAGAAGCGAACCCCCAAAAGTCGTAGGCTTTTGTCGCTCGGGGACCATGAGACGGACTTCCGGAATAGGTGCTCTTCGGTGTCTATGTGGGCGATCTGCTCAGAGTTTGACAAGACAGGTATAAAGTTTCTGGCTGGCGAGTTTTTCTAGAAAGCCAGAAACTCTAAGGCGCCTGGGCTGAAACCGGCCTCCTTTTCGACTTCTTCGCTTCGAAGCGGGCTCACCGTGGTGTGCCCTGAGGTGGGGCAGCGTATCAGCTTCCGAGTGGAGCTGGAGGAGGGCCGGCCTAAGGTGAAGGAGGTCCTTTCAGGCGGACAACTCTGATTCGACGGATTTTCGTGGGGCGAGAGGGTGTTCAGCAGCACGTTGGGAGAGCCACATGGCTTTTTGAGAAATCACGCATCCAGAGCCTTGAGGCGATGGACCTCCGGTCTCGGGACCTCCAGTCTCATCCAAAAAGGCCGGTTGTTGGAGCTGGGTTTTTCTCGATCAGTGAGGTTGGATGCTCACCAAAGAGTCGTAGTAATTTGGCGGGTCCGGGTGAAAGGAATGAAGATGTATCCAGAAGCTTTCTGTTGTGAAAACGTCCTTGGAGAGTTCCAAGAGAGCTATGGGCAGGGGATATATACATTTATACAAATATGTATATTTTTGTATGGTGAATATCCAGATCGATGCTCAGCTACACCCACTTAAACATAAAACCACTGAGAGTGCTAGCCATGCTCGGACACTGTGTTATGGACTCTTTGCATTTCTGTCCGGGTTTTACAGCAAACCTGATTGTCAGACTGGTGCTTTCAGCACCAGTTATCAAAGCCCTTGTGCATCAAACATCTTTGTCCGTCTTTGGGCTTGTTGGACGAGCAAAAGCCGGTGGTTGATTGGCAAGAAAACGGCACATCAAGAGAATTCATGGTCTGGGCGAATCTTCTGACAAATCGTCGCTTCGCCACGTTCATCGCTTCCGAACTCCTTCCCCCAAAGTCTTCAACAACAGGGGGAGCCCTTCGAGAAGAGCGAGGCTGCTTGAGGGCTGTGTTTGGGAATGGGATCTGGCCTTGTTGTCCGGAAGATGTTTGTATAAGCTTTGTTTGTGGTTCCAGCGACGCTCCAAGCACTGGTCACCAGCAACACTGAAACGAAAAGGCGGGTTTGGTTCTACGGATGTAGAGCCGAGAAGGTCTCATCTTGGTCTCTCGGGTTTCTTCGTTGAAGTTCGAGCTCTAGACCAGTCTCTTTGGCCCTCGGGTTGCGTCAGGTGTGCCTGGTGAAGTTGGAGGGGAACTTTGGGCCCTCAGGGCTATGCTTTGGCCTTAGCCGTGCCAAGCTCCCTGAGGTGCGGATCCACCTCTGGGGAGGTAGGGCAGGAGAGCTGGGGTGGTTGCGCCACCCCAGCTGCAGAACTTCGAGGGTTTAGAGTGAGAACATCCACAATCGACCCATGTGGCAGTGGGTTCGGTCTTCCACTTAAAACCATGATGACCAGGAGTTCCTTTGATTGGTTCTTTATATACCCTCAGGTCGAAAACATGAAGTGAAACTCCCCAAATGTTGGATGATTTCACTGTTTCACACCGCGAAGACCAGATTTTGAGCAGCCAAATGTGGGAAAGCAATGGAAAGCACGATGTATTTTTGAAAACAGAAAAATCTCAGACTCTCCCAACACTGTTGCATGCCTTGGGGCATGGGAACCTCTCGCAGGTACACTCACATGCAAACTAGTACGAAGAGCATCAGTCCTTGGTGTAGTCTTGAACAGGTTGCAGATAACACCAGTCCTCGAATGCGGAAGGAAGCGGTCGCCCACTGCTGCGCAGGTGCAGTTCATTCGACCGGAGCAGAGCCAATTCTGGCGCAGGAATGAGGTCCACGTGGGGGATCGCTTGATGTGGCTTGGCAGGTCCAAGCACTTTCCCGATGGGAAGTCATGTTTTTTCTGGCAGGTCCCGAGTCTTATTTTGATGGTCTGTGCGAGAGTTTCTTTTTGTTCCGCGAGACCCAAACACTTTGTGCCGAGCATAATCCTTTTTCTACAACGGAGGCTTGGGATGCCTTCACAATCGGTTGATCTTCATGGTCGTAGCAAGGTTGTTTGGAGACAAGCATCTAACCGTATGTGATCGATCCTTTGGGCCAGTCTTACTCAAGACGCACCAGGAAGCCTCCAGCTGTAGGTTATGGTCATACCTCACGTAGTTACTGTACCTCTTTCCGGGTTGGGTACCCTCGGCACGTCCCCGAGGCGAATTGAGGGTGCCCACTACACCTTCGTCTTGGGAAGTGAGCCCGAACGGCGTCCCAGCGAGCTGTCGGAGGCCGACCTCGGCGCCGAATTTTGCGAGTGTTTGGGGCTCGTGGGTGGGCGCGAGAAGCTTTGGGCAGGTGGAGCAAGTTTGCAGGATACAGATGAAAGACCTGTAAATGGGAGAAGAAGGTCGAAATGTGATTCTTTCCGTTCGTCTTTTCTGTGTCGCATTTCTTTCTGTCTGTCGCTTCCTCAGGGTCTCCGCCAGCGGCCCGTGGAGCTCTCCTTCCTTCGCGTCACGTGAGACGATCGTGAGACGGGGAGGATCGTCCGACACGGAGGGGGGAGGCTGGAGGTCTTGATCCGCAGGGCGAGCTCCAGTCGTGGTTCAGAAACGAAGGTATGTCTGGACGTCTGCTGGCATTCCCACCCACCCCAGTCCCACGGAACGCTCATGTGATCTTGGTTGGTACTGGGATGGACTGATCTGCTTGGAGGCCTTGATATGTCTACTTTTAGATCGGTGAACGGACTGGGGATGGTGACATGCCCGGAGCGGTCACCTTAGGAAGGTCCGGACGGGTGCCATGACCCACAGCCATCTCTTGCAGGTCTTGTTCTGACTTTTGGACTGATGGCCATGTCATCATCCAGAAGCATCCAGAACACTTTTGGGGTGGGAGGGATCTTGGATTATAGGCAGCCTCCAGTGGCTCCAGTGGCTCTCCCGCCCAGAGGATGCTGTGGCCGGAGAATGGACACCAAGAAGGCGTCCTGAGGCACCCGCGCGTGGGTTTGGCTGACATCTTGAGATTTTTTGGAATGCAAGGGATCTGGGAATCACCTTGAGGGCCGCTTCAGAACTGGTTTCTCCCCCTTATGACCTTGTTCCTTTTGGTCCTCCCATCCTGCCGCTCTTCTTTTCCTCTCACAGGTTGAATTTTTCACCAGCTGATGTATTTGGTGAGGCTTTCCGCCCTGGCGTCAGCGGCTCGAGACCCCTTTGAAACTCCACAGAAAGGGGTCGGTCAGAGCCATTTTTTAATCATCTGATCCCTTTGTTGAGTTATGTGGACCAAGATTATGTGTGTCAAAACATGTCAAAACATGAACTCCCAGATCTGTGTAGTTCAGCTTGATTTATTCTCATTCTGGTGAACCAGTCCTGTCAACCGTGGTGCCGTAGTCCGCACCCATATTGCTTTGCCAGACGTTGCTCAGACAAGCAAGATGCTGCCTTTTACGAGCGCAGTGTTTATGACCTGGTTGTTCATTGCAAATGCTGAGCAGTGTGAAGAGTGTGGAGCGATGTCTTTCCTTCAGATGGCACTTGGCAAGGAGAAGCAGAAGATCAAGCGAATGCACCGAGTAGAAGGAGCAAGCTATGATCTTCCGTGCCCTTCTCCTGCAGAGATGCAGAGTCCGTTTGCAGAGCAAGTTGCTGCAATGATGAGCGGATCGAATCACTCGGCAGCCCGGCTTACATCTTTAGAAGGCTGCGCCATGCTATTTGCATGCGTGGACAGCGGCAGCAAAACGGAGCAGGATTCATGGGCCAACGCCAAGGCCGTTGATGCTGGGATAGAGAATATCAGAACCTTTTCCAAAATTCCTGGTCTTTTGTGCTTTCTGTCCGCATGGATTCTTTAACATTTGGTGGTTCTATCGTTGAAGTGTTCATGAGCACTGCATGGCGATGAGTCAAGAGAACTCTGGAACGAGAAAAAACGGATCATCTCTTAAGTCCACTACCTTGAATACAGAAAAAACGTGTAAAGCTGACGCCGTCCACGTTTCTGCAAACGACGACACCAAGCTGATCAGATGACCAGATGTGCACATCGAAGCTCTGCGGACGTCGTCTCCCCACATTGTCTTCCAGTGAGTGATCGCAACCTGGGACAGGTGGGAACTCTAAACCTGCACCGACTCCCTTGATACACCACCGACTCCCTTTGGCGTCCGGTAGGTCCCAGATAGGTGTAATTGAGCCTCACGCCCCTGCTGCAGAAGTATGACGCAATTGAACTCCTCGTAAACAACGCCTGCATGTACTAAAGCGTTACACGCACATACAAGCATTCTTCAAGAGGTCTTGGAGTTAAAATTTGTCAATCCACAGGCGGTTTAGAACACATTCTAAACAGCTCCTGTGGTGTTTCAGGAAACCAGTCTGCTGGACTTTCCTTTCGATCATCCAAACTCAGTATCCTTACCTTAATTGGAAGGTTACGACTTAAGATGGTTGAAACGGAGCCCACACACAACAAAGTACATGATCTGTTTCTGGGAAATTTGACCAAGTAGACCCTAACATGGGATCTACGCTCTGGGGTTTCCGAAAACCCTCAAGGTTTCTTTCCTGGTTTTGCCTCCAGGCCTTGAGGCTTGCAGGCAGCAATGATGGTGCGTGGCACATATGTGGTGAGTACATATAATATATAGTACACTTTTGTGGAGTGATGTCGTTTTTCTACTAGGAGCCATCGGACGCTACGAACGGGGCTCCTCCCAAAGAAACAAGGTCCGTCGCAACCAGCGTCCCAGTTTCCGTTTGAGGACCTGGCGGTCTACAGCCTCCGAACCTGGCCCCATGATGAGGCCATCCAGGCCGAACCGATCCGGACGGGGTCGGATGGGGTGCGAGGCGGCCAGTAGCATGAGCGCCCAGGGCCGAACGTTCGGCCCTTCTGGTCTTCCAAAAAGAATCCTTGACCCCCAAAGCTCACCCAATTCTGCTTGTCTTCCAACAAATCCATTTGGGGGGGTCAAAGATTCTCGAATCTTGGGGGTCCTTTGATGTGGGGCTCTTCTCATCCCTCACTTGGATCCAGCTTTGTGAAGCGGCCAGACAGCCCATCCCTGCTCTGTCCAGCACTGGTCCGGACCTGGGCGTCGCTGGCGCCAGGTGACGTGTGCCAGCGCCGTGGGCCCGGTGATCTTGTTCCACCGTCCCAATGGGCTGCGAGCTGGGCAGCTGGGGGGGCTCAATGCCACCTTCGCCACTCGGCACGGAGAGGTCGGTCGACGGGCACCAACGGGCATGGGCACCAGAGATGGGTGAGATCCAACAGGGGGCCAGCATGTTCAAGAGACCCATCCAGGCCCATACCAAGAAAACAGAATTATATATGGCTCTTGAGATCATCACACACACCATGGACTGGAAATCGGAGGGAGTAGATGTATATATTATAAAGGTAAACAGAAATAAACAGAAGGTTTGGGACTGCTGGGAATCGCACCGGACATGCACATGGCTTTGAGATGCATGTTCATCATCCATTTTGACTCACCTGTAGAACTCTTTAATGAAAGCAAGAACTCCTCCCTTAGTGGTATATTGGACGGAGATGAAAGGCTTTGTTTACCATTCTCACTTACAATTCGCTTTGCTTCTGCCTTTAATTTGTGGATTTATACAAGGCTTGGTTCTATTTTTTCTTTTAACATTTGCAAGGCAGATCAGTTTTTGTCTTGAGAGCAATATCCGACATGTTCACAGTGTTCACATAGCATGTTCACGTTTGAAACTACCGTCAAATCTTCCGGGTGAACATACTTCTTTCTTGGAGGGCTGCTTTCCCTTGCAAACGCACACTACAGATTTTGGTGCTTGTCCGGCAGGATTGTCAAGGCTTCCAAGGATTTCCATGAAAAAACTGCCTATCTGGGTGAGGCCTATTATGGATCCCACATGGACAACGAACTGGTCACTGGCCTGGGAGGCGCTATCGGCTCTTACTTCGACAAGAGCAACGAGAACCGGCAGATTGCAAGGGAACTGGGGGGGATTGAGCTGCTGATCCAGAACATCCGCAACAATTTCCATGGACAGCAGCTCGTTTTCAGGGTGTTGGGTGCATGGGGTCGCCCAAATTCGCCATGCGCCGGAGGCTCTGATTTTTGGGTGGCCAGGTACCGTGACTTGTTCCCCATGTTCCACGTTCCACCGGCTGTGACACGAAGGACGGCGGCTCTTCTCGAACGGGCCGTCCGTCCGAGCGTCGCCCTCCGTTCGGCGCAAACTTCGCTCGGAGGGTCCACAGGCGGGGGTGGTGGAGAAGAGAAGGGAATAGGATGGGTGTCAGTTTGAGCTTCTAGGTTGTTTGATCCGACGCATCCAGGGTGTACCGGCAGAGCAGGGCTCAGCCCGGTGTCGGTGACGATCTTCGGCCTTGGAGGGCCGATCCCTTTGCGGTGTGGCGGCGAAGTCCGCGGCGCCAGGTACAGCGACTGGGCGTATGAGCCGGTGAAGCAGTCGCTCTTCGGCTTATCCTCGGGAACGTGGACGAATCAAGACGTTGCCGCGCGGATGCAGATCGTCCCCTTGCATGTTCAGCTGATGAAGGACCGTGTTGATGGTGAGAGATGAGGTGTTTTTGCCCTAATCTTTTTTGGGGGTGCGGTGAGAGGAGGAAGAGTGGGAGGAAGTGAAAGGAATAGTAGCCAAAGGCTTGGCGGACTATTCTCTTTGTTTCTATCTTTCTGGAGAGGTAGTAGATATCTAATCAATCTAATCTTCCCCATTTCATGGGCCTTGCCGACCCCCTGGTCGATCTCAGTCTGGGCGCCATCGCTCTTCTGGAGTCTTGGCCCCCTCATAGGCAGCTTGGGGGACTGGGAGACCGGCAACACTTGTGAAACGTGTGTTGAGCGGTATTGTGGTGTTGTGGCAATCTATTGTGCAGCATCAAAGCTTGGGGCTGCAGTCTTTTGAGACATCGTTTTGGAGCTGCATCCATGTTTGCCTCACTGAATTCAACGGGCTTTCACAATTAACATCATCCTGTCTCACAAAGAAACTCGGGCCCTCAAAGCATTTGGGCTGTGCTCTCATGCGTGGGCCAAGCTCAGTGCACCTGTCGACCTTTTGGCCCGCCTCAATTTCTCAGCACATCCTGTGAGGGTCTGAACAGCCACTTCACCGTCCCCACTTCACCACCCCCATGTTCAGCTCCGCCTTCAAGCCTTCAACCCCAAAAAGCGGTTGCCGCAACACCAACGGCAACGCCAAACCCAACGCCAGCGCCAGCGAATGAGCGACGGCCTCGCCGCCCGGACCGTTGGACCAGGAGCACGGGAACGAGACGAAGATCGGGGAGGAGACCCTGCAGGCCGGGAGATGGGTGGAAGGGGGCGGTTTCGCTGGGTTTTTGAGATCGGTTGTTTGGACAACCCTGTTGGAAGCTGTGCAGATTTTGTTGTTTGGTCCGAAAATGGATCAAAGATGGGGTTTGGAATCCCATCTTCCTCTGCAAGAGTACAGGCCATGGTGCTTTCGTCCGACATGCTTTCATCGATGGTCAACTCAGACAACGCAGGCTGTCAAGGCGATGCTCTATGGGCGGGACTCCTTCCGGTGGAACTACACCAACGCAGGCACTGCGAAAAACCGTTGTTGACGGCTGTACAAGGGTTCCTCCATCCCATCCAGTGGTGGAGCTACATGGGGTTGTGCTCGGGGCGACTGGGAGAAACGACATCCAAAACGACATTCAAAACGACTCAATTACGTGTGACTCATAGGGCGTGCGACTTTTGGTTCTTTTCGGCTGCTTGCTTGGGAGCTGCAAAAGCGGTTTGTGTTTGTTCTCCCATGATCGATAAATATAGACATATACATGTATAATGTATACAATTATGTGTATATTTATACTGCTGCGTGGAACCACGGTACGTAGTACTAGGTAGTTGCGTGTGTATTTGCAATTCAATAATAATTCAATATGTTCATTCTCTTCATGACCACTCATGACAAATGCGAATGAATTCATGCCACATGTGGATTGGTTTCACCGAAACCACACACATGACACATGACACATGACACATGACACAAACGCGCGGTCTTTGCAGTATCTCTTTCCCCAAAGGGCCCTCCCCACAGGCATCTTTGAGGCCTTGGTGGGTGTCCTGCGGGGCAATCCCACTGATCGTGGTGCCATCAGCCTCAGCTGCGAGAGCATCGTCTGCTTGGTGGGCGTCACCTTCATGTTTGGGCCCACACTTCGTTTGCCGCGTCTCTTGGCCTTTGACCCGGCGATCCAGGCGAAAGCCACTGAGGCTGGAATACTTGAGGCCTGGGTGGGCTGGTGGAGGAACAGACTGAGCGCGGAACCTTGGGGGTTCATATTGGTTTCATTTTCCCTTCTCGATTCTAGATTCCTTCCTGTGAGTATCTGGGGAGCTTGTAGGAATGACTACCTGTAGTTCTCTCAGCAGTGGCGTTTCTTCGATTCACTTCCAACACCCCGTGGCATAGAAAACTGTGGAGGCTCTGATCGAGACAGCCACTTCGAACCGCGAGCTGGAGCACTTTGAGCATAACTTCAACTTTGATGTTGATTCCTCGTATAATGCAAAGGCCACCTGCTATCAAGCCTTGCATGTCATGGCCAAAGACAACATGGAGAATCGTGCTGGAATCCTGGAAGCCAAAGTTCCGGAGAGGATCGAAGAGAACTGGGCCGAGCTCGATCATCAAGGCCAAGTTGAGGCCTGTGGACTCTTCTCAGAGCTTGGTCTTCAGAAGTCGAAATGCCCCTGATGGCCGAAAATGCTTGGGCTTTGAGGATCTTTTAGGACATCTTCATAGAACTCAGGCATGCAGGACAGTGTGGCCCCAAAAGTGGCGCTGCTTCTCTGAAGGGTCTTGTTGCAAGTTGATCTCCTGGTGGTTTTGGTGTTTGGGGGGCCACTCTGCAGGATTTTGACTCAAAGGCTTTCAGCTCTGCTTCAAAAGTTTGGGCCTGGGCTGGCCTCCGGAAGTGGTTTTGTTTTTGGCTCCTGGAAACAGACCCAATCTACAAAGCAACGCATCCAGGAGTATGTTTCTACACGATCTTGAGATGGCTTGCCACCACTGGCAGATTTCCAGACCTTCTGAACATTTCCTGTTGGAGTCCCATTTCAGACAGATTCTTCCATGTGAAACACAGACTCGTGTTTCAGACAAGGGCAGGCGTCCGGCGTCCGAACCGTGCGACCCTTTTGTTGTTTTTTCATTTTCGGGGCCTGACTGACTAGTGTCCACTTTTCTGGGCTTCTTGAAGTTGTTCTATTTCGTGACTATGCTGACACTATTCCCAGTTTTCCATGTAGGATCAACTGGAGCAGGTCCTTCGCCTACCATGTTTGGAAAAAGATGGAAGCTAAACGAATGGATTCTTAGTTCTTCCAGATGAGGGCATTTGTGGTTCTGGAGTTCTGAAGTGCAATCTGGCATTGGGATGCACGTCCAAGACTTAGGCGCCCAGTAAGACTCAGTAAGGGACCCTTGAGGACCAGCTATTCCTGGACCCTTTGTTGGATAAAGTTTATGCCCAACACCACCTGGTGGGTCAAATCCTTCTCCGAAGTGTGATTACCCCCAAACACATCAATTACATGGACCTTTTTCAGCGTTGTGCTTCACTTGCCGTCCGCGTGACGCGCCGGGTCTGCAGGCGTACTATGAGTGACACTGCAGACTCAGAGTAAGTCTGTCAGTTGGGATGAGCTGAGCCAGGACCTGCAGACCTGCTGCCTGTGTTTTTTTCGTTTTTTTTTTTAATTTTTTTTTTCCGGGATTTTCGGAGTTGGTTCATTTTTCTGAGTTTTTGGTTACCTTTCGGCAAGCGCAAATGGACAAACATGCATTTTTTGGGTTCATTTTGCCTCTTGGCATTCTGGATTGTCAAGTGCAACGTTGCCTTGACCATGCCTTGAAAAAATGCCTAATGAAAGCCAATGAAATCGGGTGATCTGGTTGGATCGGGTGATGTTCGGCTCCAGATGCTTGGAACATGTGGGCCACAGCGGACCCTGTGTCCGACGTGGGACCATTGGTCATGGCCATGCTGCACGACCAGCGATGGTCGCGCTGCTTGTTGTTCTCTGCTGGTCGCGCTGAGAGACGGACTTGTGGCGCCTGGAAGTCACAGGCTTGTGGCCGGGTCTTGGGGTGTTTCCCTTCGTTGCTCCCCCTTTGGGTCTCTTTGTTTCCATTCGTTTGTCTCTCCGGTTGGGTACTGTACTTGTGGTCCAATCTCCAGCTGCTTCCTCTCATTTGTCTCCCTTTGCATTCCAGCTTGAGGTGCTTCTACTTGGGTCTTTGGCTGCTTAGCTTGGCTTTAACGAAGTGGCCTTCTGTATCAACCTGGGCATCTCATACATTCTCATACAGGTGTCCCACCTGCAACTGAAGACAGGTGTTCAGGCTCCCGAAATCCCAAACACTTGCCTCCCATCTGCATGTGGCGCATCTTGTCTCTAACCTTTCTCCTCTGCATGTGGCGATCTCCAAGACCCTTTTTGGAATCGAACCACGGATCTTGCACGAGTTGTGCCGAAGGTCGCCAGCTGCCAGCGAGCGACCAGGCGTCTCGCCATACTACCGAAGTTGATCGCCGGCTTGTTGACCCACGGGGTGGACTTGCACGACTTTTGTCCAAGACTTGTCTCCTTTTGCATGACCTGCTTGTTTTCCATGCCAGCAAAGCTGCCGACAGCAACGTCGGCAGCTGGGTTTGCCGCCAGCCACGCAACGTTGTGTTGACTGAAATCTTCGATGAAGCTTTGGAGCTTCAGAACAGTGGGGGCTTACTTTCGGGCTGCACCAGATGCAGATTTCAGTGGCAAACAGTGACGTTTTTTGAGGTGGAAGTACTCTATTGACTTCATTTATATATGCAGCCAAGAAATGGTAAATGACCATGATTCTTATGACCAAAAGTGCAGAGTCTTGTGTGCAAGCAGTTTGAACTGATGTTTTTGTTGCAGCAGGACAACACAGGATATGTCAGGATAGTCCAGGACCAGTAAGGGAAAGACAGGCCAAAGTCCGGATTCCATAGGATAGTCTAGGATGAGTCAGGCACTATTTGAGAGTACGCTGTACATAGGAAAAGCTAGGAACATCTAGCAACATTCCAATCTTTCCCAAAAAACATTTGCTGGTTCAACAAGGTCCTGTTTTCTTGTCGACATATTGGACCATGAAGAAGTAGTGTATCACTTCGGCTGAGATCTTCCAACCCCAAACAAATAGGACAACTCCTCAGCCGATCGGCCTGCCGATGCCTCTGTCCAACCGGGTCTTTTCCTCCGCAACGTCCGGATCCAGTGGATCCATCAGATCCGGCATCTGCTTGGGCGGGTGATCTGAGTCGTCGAGTCGACGAGTCGATCAACTGCTCGACTCCCAGTCGACTCAGATCCACCAATTGAGATTGGCCATGCCATGTCAATTCTTGTGCACATTTTCACGACTGAAAATTCCTCAAATCAGGAAATTCCTCAAACTATGTTGATACCCTCTTAGAATTAGTTTTCATCAAGTTGGTGGCTAAAGAATTTATATACGGAAGGAGCATGGCTTGAAATCCCTCGACTGTTGGGCTTGCGCTTCACGTTCTCAAAACCCTGTCCTTAGCTCCAGGCCCGAGTGATCCGCCTTTTCAAAAGGTTTTCTCAGAAGAGAAGGCGGATCGTCCGTCCGGTGAACAAATCCGTTTGAATATAGACAAGATCGCCAGAATCTGAGAGTCTACTGTATTTTAGATTGAAGTTGATCTGAAACTCCATCGGATTCTGTATTATGCAGACTAGATTGAAGTTGATTGAAGTTGATTGAGTCTACTGTATTTTAGATGTCTCGGTTCTCAGATTCTCGGATGGATTGCAGACATCGTCTCACCGGTTTGGACTGAACAAGCTGCAGCGGTCGCGGTCTCTCCAGGCGCGCTGGCTGCGCGGTCTCCCCTCGGGACCGGGGAGACGAACTGTGGTCAGGTGCTGTGGTTTTCGGTTGGATGTCAGAGTTACCACAGAGCCGATTCAGAGCAAAGACACAGAGCAAAGACAAGACAGGACAGGATAGGACAGGGAGAGAGAGAGAGAGAGAGAGAGAGAGGGAGGGACATATGCTGGAAAACATTGAAGGCTCGTTGATCCCTTTGATCGATCGCTCGATCCCCTAGTGAAGACTCGAACGACGAGTTTCTTCTTGAAGAGATCCCCTTGTAACCTTGTACCCATAGGGAGACACTTCACGACTCATTTGCCACAAAGTCAAGCAGCTCAAGGGCCTCCAATCGCGAGAGAGCGATCTGTGTTTTTTCGTCTTTCGCATGGCACAGCACCTGCCGAATGCAGCGAGAACGACGTGGTTCGAGATGACGTTCAACGATGAGGCCTTGGACGAAGAGAGTCCTGCAGGTCCCCCCGTCGACCCAAATCACGCAGGCCAAGGGGGGAAAGAAGAGCCATGCTTGGACTTCGCCAGAGATCCGGGGACGAGCCCGCACTCCAACCGGACCTGTGATCCGTGTGTATTTGTCGCTTCTGCCCATGGATGTTCCAAAGGCTTGGCGTGTGAATTCTGTCACCTCGACCATCCAGCGATCAACTCTGCCCACTTCTCTCGCCCGCACAAGCAGCGGCGCATGAGGATGAGGCAGGTGATTCTGCAGCACCTCCAAGGAAATGACCCAGATGAAATGCAGCAGGCCCTGCAACGAGAAGCTCGCCGTAATGCGTACATGCGGAAGCTCATCCCGTCCTACATTGCTTTCCACTTCGGTGAACCTACTCCTACTGTGAATGAGCTGGATGATACCTGATTAGCCAGGACTTGTAGAAGGCAAAGTGTTTGTCAAGCGGCAGTTTTCCCGTCTGCATTGACAGCGACAATAATTTTTGAATGGACAGCGACAATAATTTTTGAATGTGGTGCAACGCACATGATTCCGCCATGTGCAAAGACGGTACAGAAATTGCATGTGACTTCTGTATAGATACCTTGAGGTGCTTTGCTACTAACCAGCGTTGCCTCTTGGCAGTCACTTTTTAGACATCCTGCCTTGTTCTGTCAGCACGAGGGACTTCATGTCTTCAAGCAAATCTGCCAGCCAAAGCTTTCCCTACATGTAGAGTTGTTGCCTGACAGAGCTGCAGTTAACAGAGCCTTGAAGGCCATCCTTCGGGTTGAAAGTCCTGCTGGTTTCGACAGCGCTCCGGAACCAAAGGGTGGCCTGCGAAAAAGGTGCCCACCTCACTCACCAGATTTGCCAAGCGTGGCAAAGGCCTGTCTTGTTCACCACCTCATCAAAACGGGGGCTTGTCCCGTTCGCTTCAGTGCTTCGGTGCTTTCGCCACTCAGGTCGACATGAGTGGCGACCGCCACGGATCGCAAGCACCGTATCGACCGATCGTCAGGACGGAGAGACTGGTGCCAGGTCGGACGGGACAGAGCCGATGTGTCGAGGTCGCTGAGCGTTGCTTTTGAGCTGAAAGGATGTCCATGTGGGTTGTATGTTGAAAGGCAGCATGCTGTGAGTGTGGTGTCCCAAGTTGAATAGACATCAGATAGTACCCTGGTAATTCCAAGCATTTCTCCAATCCCTTGAACTATACAAAGTGTACAATTATTACATGTGTAACATTATGTAACATATTTAGCTACAAAAATAGCTACACATATATCGAGGGATCTAGAATGATGAGGAAGAAGTGAGAGCTTTGCTGATGTGGAAGGAGGCTTTCCAAGGCTTAGATACTTTCCAGGGCCGAATCTGGTGCTCCATGCAGAAAGCCACCGCAATGTGCGGATTTTGGTGCCAGGTCGCCCGTGGTGCTCACCTTCTGACGGTGTCCAGAACCTCTGCCCACCCCGCGTGTGGGGTGTCCCAGTGGCATGGCTAGACGGTGACGCGGTGATGTCGGCGTCAGCGGCATTTTCTTTTTGTTGGGAGGGGATTGGAACCGTGTGTGGATAGGGTCCAGTGAGCTTTCTGCTTCCAAGTGCCGGAGAGTGAGCTTTCCATTGTGGAAACTTTGCTGTGAAGCCTCGGTGGACTGAGCTAGTCATGCCAAGCCTTTTGGACTCCTCGGCTGATGGCGACTTCGGAAAGAAGTCCGTGACTGCGCTGCAGAAGTTTCTCAACCAGGAGGGCTTCTACTGTGGAACGGAGGATGGGGACTGGGGTGGCACGACAGAGAAGGCGCTGCAGCTCTTTTTGAAGGATGCGGGATATGATGTGGACTTCAAGAAGGGGGTGAGAGATGGTGGGAAAAACACGGAGCTCTTCCAGGAGTTTCTTCAAGATGAGGATCAAGATTGTAAGCCCGATGGTTCCTGGGGCAAGAAGTCTGCCATGGCCCTTCAGAACTTCCTCAAGAATGAGGAGGAGAAAGGCTTTGAGCCCCTCTACAAAGGTTCCTTGAATCCCCCAAAAAGTGGTCCTTTTGGCATTGGGAGGATCTATTGGATAGAGGAGTGTGTTAAAAGCCAGATCCTTCTTCAGGCAAATGAGGTACATTTCACACTGTTTAAGTGTATGCATTATTGGAGTAGATAGACATCCAGTTCAATCCTGTGGTTAGTAATGGACCACCAACCACCCAGTTCCATCCAAAACGCTTGGAACGAGGCTAGACCACCCATTCCGCCCATCTGAGGCAAGGAAGATGGTGAGATGGGCGGAATGACGATCTTGGCTCTGCAGAAATTCCTCACCCAGCGCGGGTGCAATCCTGGACCCTTGGACAGCGGCCTGGGCAAGCAGACCGTGGTCGCCCTGCAGAAGTTCTTGTCGCTGCAGCCGGATGTCTTGGAGTTGAAGGCCGTGCGCCGGAAGAAGAGACTTGGACTGAGATGTATACGCCTTGCATGGACTGAAACAGATTTTCAACGAGCAAGGTAGCCAGCAAATCCCCAGAGGATAGCTGGCATATCTTTGCTCTTCATGAATTTTACATAGATCTGTGTTCATTTATCCATCTCTTCTCTTCATCCTTAGATATGACCGTACGTTGGCCGTGGTCCCTTTTATCGTTTTGGCCAATCCAGGAAGGGCAAAGCCAAGACCGGCGACAGCAGCGCAGCCAGTGCGCCCAAGGCCAAGCCCAAAGCCAAATCGGCGCACAGCAAGGATATCATTGGCGCGGAGATGCGCAGGTTGGCCGAGGAGGCATCGATGATGGATGGATTCTGAGTGGAATCCATCTCCTTTCTGAACATCCAAGGGTGGGGAACGGGGAAATGGATGAGATAAACATCATTACACACATTATATGCTAGATAAGCTGAAGGCAGATCAAAGTTGCTTGAAGTTTCTGTGTGAAGTCTCAAGATGTTGCAATGAGAGATCTTTAAGGTTCATTCTGTTTTTTCAAGAAGCATTCATGATCCTTTGTTGGTTCAATGTGGATGTTCAGCGCGCTTTCCAAAAGGAAAGGGCACTTCAAAAAATGCAAGAAAGTCACCGACAGACTTTCGACTCGTTGTTTCACCATTCCCAAGGAATGTAGTGAGGCAAGTCTGAAAACGAAGGCGGCAAGTCTCTCAGGCTAGATGCGAATCCTTCTCGTCAGAAGCAAAAAGAGCCACCAAACTCAGGGAAGATCAATATCTAGCAGCTAGGAGAAAAAAAACCTGTTTCGTTTGATTAATGCGTTGCATAATAAGTAGATATACATACTGTAAATGGCTCCACAAAAGGCACCTGCACGTCTTTTTATAAACATTTATGGGATACTTGCATACCCTTCTTTTTGACCTCTCTGGCCGTGCATGCTTTCTTTGCCATGCCTCCTTCCACGGCCCATCAAACCCTCGGTGCCAGGTGGTCTACCTGGATGCCCCATCAGCACTAGTGCGCTGGACATCGAAAAAGCGCGCAGCTCTGATGGTTGCTTAGCATGGCAGATTCGTCCACTGAAGAAAGGAGACATTAGATCCAATGATTCATCCACTGAAGGTTTGCCACTGGCAGATTCTTCGTCCAGGACAGATGTTGGATCTGGAAGCAGTTCCATTTGTGGGGACAAGCGGAGAGCATCTCAGAGAGCAGGTTGCCGGAACGAAGGATTTCAGCGCCAATGCCGAGGCTGATTTAAATTTGAACAACCATCGTGGTCAAGTTCCAAGTTGGGTTCAGTGGGGATTGGGACAACCTTTTCATTCACAAGTATGCAGTGTAGCAACATGGACGAACGTTGTTTAAAAACCACAGGCGATCCAAAAAAACGCATCGTTTTCCCAGCTGTGGAACACACGGCCGTCTCTTTGACAGAGGGCCCGGGTTGAGGGAGGAGCTTGTTCTTCGAATCGATGCACAAGGGTACTGGGTGAGATCCATCTTCCAAGTCCCAATCCTTTGAGATCTGACCTGATTTGGCCAATCCTTTGTGGAACATGTTGGACCACACAGCTCTTGGTCGAACACGGAGACAGCGAGGACCGACGCTGCGACGCCCCTTTTGGCTCGACGACCGAACCCCAGAGTGAACTCTAGGCTCCCACCTGGCCAATGGGAGCGGGCCGGAACCAATGATTCGTTCGGCCCTGAAAGGCCCAGTGGGATGGGGGAATTGGACTCCAGATTGGTTTCAAGGCCTCCCCGTCCTCGACTTTCTTTTTCTATTAGTGTTGTTATTTAACGATCTTTTTAAGCCACATATGTTTTTTGTTATGATATGCAGAGAGAGAGAGAGAGATCAGACAATGGTTTCTACAAGCTCTTAGTTGCAGTTTTGGAGGCTTCTCGTGCTGTCTGGGTCAGGTTGAGCCGATGGTCCGGCCTTATGTTCAGTGGGATGCTATGAAGTTGCCCCGGTGCTGCAACCCAAAGCTGGTTTGAGGATCCTGCAGATGTTTTTGCTTCCATGGGATCGTCATGGTATCTTCATGTTCACATGGTTGGGATGCTATGGCACTCCCCAAAAGAGATGCCCACGGCACCGGTTTTTGCTATACTCAAAGGAGACGCCATTGGTTTGGCAACCCAAACTTCGGACCATTGGATTCATTGGATCTTGCAATTTATCCTAAGATGTGCCCATTTTGGTCTCAGAACTGCATGTTTTCTGCAAGTAAACTGCATGTTTTCCTTTGAAGTCTGCCGGATTCTGGAGAAACATCACATTGCCGTCACTACCACTGCACCGACTGGACCGCCGCACGGTGGGTCCGTTCGAGCGTTTGCAGATCCTTTCAATTTCTGGTTTCTCTGAAACTTGGACTTGATGAAGAATCGCATCTCCGAACTGCTTGACAGGCGATGGTGGCAGATGGAGAAACTCCTCAAGACCAGCAGTCGCAAGCAGTGGCCTGGCTGGTCTGGCTGAGGTGGTGTACTTCCAACAACTTCTTTGGGGGTTGTGGAGGCTGTAAACCAAGAGCGAGAGGTCAGTGTACGGATGCAAGAAACATTGGATGGAATCACCCTTAGCTTTTTGCTACTAGTAGAAATGTTTTTTGGTAGTAGTAGTGTCCTTGCTCCTAGTAGCGATGCCCTTGTGTCATTCTTCAGCCTTCGCCTTCGATGTGGAACCGTCTTTGTCCAGTGTGGAGCAAGATGATCGCTAGCAGATGCCGCAAGCCCAACGAAGGTCGTTAGCAAAGAAAAGCAGTTGAATGCAGTTGACCTGGTGCATCCAAGGGGGGTTTCGCCTTCCGACTTGCCTTCCGACTTCTGTGAGGAAACCCATGAAGCACGTTGTCTAGTCTCCACACATGCACCTATGATTTTTAAGATGTGGCTGTGGGTCACACAAGTGTGACCTACACACCAGATGAGTTTCATTGGACCTGTTTCTGCTGGGGCGTCCCTTTGGTCAG